AGAAAGAGTTTAAAAGAAAATCAGATAAGAAAGATATGGAAATGGATGCAACAGTTTAAATTTAACTTAAAATTTAATTTAGACCAAGAGGTAACAAAAAAACAATATTTCAAATGGTTTAACAAATTAATTAGAAATGAAATAATAGCACTTTATAAAGTGTTAACCAAATCCAATTAAAGAAAAGGTATGCAATGAATTGGTAAAATGTATAGAAAGGCTATTAGGAAGGGCTGAGAGTGAATTGGAAAGGGATACTGTAATGGAAGAACAAAATAATACTAAAACATTATTTTGGTATTACCACAGCAAAAGAACCATTAAGGATGAACTAAATTATATTTGGGCAATAATGGAAAAGTGAAATGACTGTTCTACAAAATGAATATTTCATTCAGGTATTCACTAAGAAAGAGGGGAACAACATGCTTCAGGCATTGGAGGGACAACGATCTTTATTAAATAGTATTCACATAAAAGAGGCATGATTGGTCATGTAGTACTCATCCATAAAATGGGTGACACAGCTTAATTCATGGGATACATAAGGGCTCTGTTCCGCAAATCTTTACGTAACACAAATCTTACATAAGTCGGAAGTGACCCTTTATTAGCCATTGCATGAACGCACACAGAGAATTAGAATTACAATTCATGATATTACAGCAATCCTCCACTATTTTCCTATTTTCTCTAGCTGTGTGGGCGAGTGATGAAGGAGTAGAACTGCAGGCTCACCAGGGTTTATTGTCCTTTAATACTTAAAATGTGTGTGTGCTATTCACGGAAGAGAGCAAAAGAGAGAATGTAGCAGCAGCAGCTAGCAGGCCGTGAAGTAGAGAGAGAAAGGGAACTTCCTCCACTTATGTAGGAGGAGAAATGAAATAACAATGTGTAAAAAAAAAATTAACATATAACTAAAATAATTAAACACCAAATGTAGTACACTCATAAAATTGTACAGTAAATACATAAACATTTAAAAGACAGAATTGATCAATTCTGTACATTTTTTAACCTGCATTGTACCTTTCAATAAATAAATACAAAATAAATAACACAGTAGATTATATAATAAAATCATTTGGATGTTTCCCTGACATGATTGCAATACAGGCTACTCACAGTTTTCAGTTAATGCAGTATTTACCACGCATATGCAAAAGCAAAGTAAGACTTTCTGTAAAACAACCTTGGTTGATGCTGCTACACGTTAAACTTACAACTCCATGCTATTCATCTTTAGTAGAAACGTACCATACAACTTGTTCTTTATGTATGTTATGCAAACTTTCAATCACTAGAAATGTTTATTATAGGACCCATAATAAAATTATAACTGGGCAAACAATTTGAAGATAAATGTTCAATGTATACACATACAGAGTTTAGCATGCAGGTAACAAAGACAAACCACATACAAAATGGAAAACAACAAGATAGAAAAGTTAACAAATTAAAGAGATTTAGGTGCTTATGTTCACATATCATTTACATCATCTAGACAATGTGGTAAAGTAAAATGTCAGTAAATATTATTAAAAGCATAGAAATATAACCACATTATAAATATATATATATTGATGCTTTAGAATCTGTCCAGAGAAGAGCAACCAGATACATTCCGAGGAAATGTCCAATACCGTCAGGCTGACTGAACTAAACATTTTACTGTTGAACAGAGAAGATTATGAGGGGACCTATCCAAAGTTTTTGTTTTTGATTAAAAGCACTGACAAAAACAATCTAGCAGGCTTCTTTAGAATTAATAGTGAAACAAGTGGAAACTGTGGAAGTGTATTTAAAACTGAGAAGGAGAGGCACTTGTTTACTCAAAGGCTTATGAAAGTAAGGAACAAGCTACTCAGCAATGTTATTGAAGCTTTCATTAAATGGATGGATGAGATTCTTGGATCAGTTAACTACTACTCTCATTAATAATTACACTTATTTTTTTTTAATATATGCATGTAATTAATGAAAAATAATTTATATTATATTCTACTTAGCATTCATATTAACCTCACGATCACAAATACAAATTACTTGACCATAAAGAAAAACTTGAAACAATTAATTTGCTTCCTAATACTTTTGGATGGCACTGTATGAGAGAAGCTAAAATGATGTATTGTCTAGTAAAGGACTGCATACTGCAGAGAGACAGAAACTGAGCTGGTATAAGTCATTTCAAAGTCCTGACTACCTGGTATTTGAGGATCCTAGGCATGATCTGTAAGAGTATCTGTGATAACAGTGGTGTACTGGCTGAATTCCATTTTAGCCCTGGACTAATTTCATCCACCCATTAATTTTCTAATCCCCTTTATCCAGGGCTACTTGGGGAGCTAAAGCCTGTTCTGGCAAGCAACAGGAACAAGGCAGGATATACCCTAAATTGGTTGCCAGCCCATCACGGGCACACATAGACAAAAACACGCAGACACTTCTACCAGGGCCAATTTTTCCCCAGAAGCATGGTAACCCACCAGTATGTTTTTGGACTTTGGGAGGAAACTGGATAACCCAGAGGAAACTCATGCAAACATGCGGAGAACATACAAACTCCACACAGATAGCTCCCCAGGTCTGGAATTGAACCCCAGGACCCCAGCGCTGAAAAGTAGAAATGCTAGCTCCTGCTTTAATTCAATTTGTGAAATTATTTTTTGCTTCTCTACCTAAGATGCTGTGTTTGTGGGCAATGCACTTCAGTGGCAGATGAAGTAGATCCTATCTTACATTTACTGCAAAGTGCTTTGGGAGAATTTGAAATAAAAAGTATAATAAAAATGCAAAATATTTAATTATCACATGCAGATTTAATTAACCATATGCAAAATAATTAAAGGCATCACATTAGGACTAATTCTAAGAATTTGCAAAACCATTAAAGAACTGGTTTACATTTTTAGACACTTGACTACATCCTTGCAATCATGATCTCTAGTTACAGAAGTTCAGAATCCCACATAAATAACAGTGTATGCCATCCTTGTATAACCTGATCATGATGAATAATATTATGATCGTTATTATAATAAATAATACAGATCAGTAAAATATAAAAAACAAATATAGCTAATAATAATATTCAAACACTGCTTCTGAACTCATTTATAAAAGTATGTTCTGTCCATGGGAAATATTTCAAAACAAAATCGGCTCCCTCGCAAGTCTGTTTAATTTGCTTACAGTGCTGCCTTAATCAAAATGTGGTGAACGTCTCCATAAAATATTTCTAATGCAAAGGCAGTAACACCTTTAAAAGTAACTTAAAACAATTAGAAAGGTAACCGGACGAGTTACCGGACATATACAGTAGTAGTATCTAATAATTTAACAACAGTAATTTTACAGTACTACAGTTCAATCTACGTGTTGCGGAAACATAAGTCAGTGTTACGTTATCCTTTTTAGGCGTGACTGAACCTCCTATAAGCAAGACAGATATTATTATTCTTATTTGAATTATGTCTGGTTGCTTTAGATATAATGACATGTTCGCCCACTTAGAATCCTAAATTGTGTTTCTATATATACATAGCTTGAATAGGAGAACAGTGACCCCTAGTGATAACCAAGACAACACTTCGAATTTCTCTTAGTTTAATTTCGATTTGAATTTAAAAAAAATAAAAATCTGTACATTAATAGGAAGTCTTAATAAAGCGAATGCTGTTTTAGTTTTACAACGATCCCTTCTACCTAACAAAAACGCCTGAAGAATTGCCTTATATGATAAGTCCCTAGGCTGGTTCGGTTTGTCTAAACTAAAAGAAATCACATGATACCACTGATAGTTTTATTATCTGTGGTAATTCTAACAAAACTACCAGAATTACATCGATGTCCATTTAATGGATCCACAACATTTTAGGTTTTAACAGAATTTAGCGCTATAAAGGGGAATCGTATAATCGGAGAACGTAGTACTTTCTAGGCAGGGAAAGAGGGCGCTTCACCTTTTCTACAAATACATACGCATTGCCAGATGACAATGAATAAAATCTCCGAGTTATTGATGTAATACCATGTTTAAAAGGAAATACGTTATTTCCTTTTAAACATGGTATGTTCAGTTCATTTCAATACTTATTCCATTGCTTTATATATGATTTGAGATTGATAATGTACCTTTCAGGCAATTTCAGACAAAAACAGGTTCATCTATAAACTTTATTTGCCTAAGGTACTTAACCTTATTTGTGTTAATTTATCACAATTAACACTGGTTTCCAGATAAAATCACGCAATCATCAAGTCGACAGGTTAAAAATAGATATAAATTAGAATTTAATCACATCGCCTGAAATTCAGGCAATTTATGTCGTTAACCTTTTTAATATTATCGAACAATTAAGAAATTACAATATATTACTAAATTTTTAAACAATCCAATCGTTTTCCCTATAATCTTAAAGACTGGCACCAGCATACTCCTTGAAAAGTCATAGTTGGTTTTGTTATTATTTTGCTAGCTTTTTTTATTGAAATAGAATAAGAAAGTTTCAAGTTTCGACAACAGAAAAATGTAAATAACGACAAGAAATAAAGTCAGCATGAATAGAGTAGTATTCCATGAAAAGTTAAAAGCAATAATAGCAGTTACATAACACAAAAACAAATGTATGCATTTAGTTATATTAAGACCGATTCTCTTATTAACAAAATGCCAACCTTAAACGGCTTAACCAAGATAAATATATCATGTAACAAGACTGACAAAAGACAAAAACATAAATACAAATACTTGACATCTATATTTAGTAGAGTAAAATAAGTTTGGTGCTTAAATACGTAAGACATCACATGAGTTTTATCTATTTACCGCGTAATTCTTACATTAAAAGGGACGCTTTCATTTACACATAATGCTTCTTTAACTCGCATCAAAAATAAAAAATAAAATCAAGTTAGAATTTTAAAACATGAAAGCTATCCATAATGACAAAAACACAGCGCAAGTAATCATTATGTCAAATCACTGATGTACTCACAGATGTTCGCTGCCAAAGCTAAGGTGCACGAAGTAAACACCGCTATGCTGAACAGATAGGACCAAGACATGGACCTGGATTCCATCACTGCCACCAGATAACGAATATCCAGACTGGTAATATCCCCACTCTGCGAGAAAATAACTCCGATGTGTGCTTCTAATTGTTTAGTTCCAGTGGCTCCTGTACTGTAGCCTGCCGCAAGGAGTGCCACTGATGAAATGGTAAGGACACTCCTCCACAAACCCTCTTAAAGACGCCGCTTCTCCCAGAACCACGCGCTCCTGTTACTGTGTTTCTTCTCTCATTGGCAAATATTCTTGTTCCGCTGCAAGCCTTTGGACAGCTCCGCACAGAGGGCTGGATGAGGCCCGCCTCCCAAAACCTGAACACACCTTCACTGAAATTAAAGAACATTTCTCCAGCAAGCTAAATGCGCAGAACACATTTTCTTTTCGAGTCAGTATTTTTTAAAAACTAAAGGTTTGCATCTGAGTGTATTCGGAACTATAATTATTCTGGTGCACAGTCGGTTGAGGTGAAGATTGTGAAGATTACTATTCGTGGTGGATCATTCAAAAATAACATGGAATGCTTTTTATTTTGCTAAATTCAGATTACTGTATCGATACACAACAGCGGGACAGGAGCGAAATCTCTATAACAGAATATCGTAATTCAGCTATTGTGAGCACCATTGATATTTTTATAAAGTCACTTTATTAGTGAACGTGGAATAGTCACAATTATTATACAATAATAAGTGTATTTTCACATAAATAAAGGTTATAGTTTTTTTTTAATTCTTGACGCACCGTGGAGAACGAGTGGTACGTTAACTTTCAAGCCCAAAATGTAATAAGGCTCTGAATGATTTCGTGGCGATATACAGTATCAATTGCGTTACGAATTCTCGTGTCGATATTGTTAAAACGATTAAAAAATCATGTTGTCAGAAAATTAGAAAGATAGATTCATGAATAGATATACCACAGACAATAGTTTTCACAGGCAAACGTTTGCTTTTTTTGTCTTTGTGCCTTTGAGTTTTTCCGCTATTTGCTATTGTTAAAAAATTAAACATACAGTACTAAACGTGGTATAAAACGTTCAGAGCGGTGCCTCTTAAATGTAACTACCAAGAGCCCCGTACGCGTTCATTTCTTTTAGAATATTAGAGAAATATTGACATAAAGGACAGTGGAATTAGAGTTATAGCGATCAGTTAAATTGTGCTATACTTTCTACTGTTTTACTAATGTGATTGCATGTCAGTTTAGTTGTTATTAGTAACTATCTTTGCTGGTCTAATGTCCTTCAAAATGACAACTCAATAGTTTTCATGTTGGTCTATAATAAGACTGTGAGAATCCATTTGTGGCTCTTATGACTAAAGATTTGTAATTCTGTAACATGAGAGAAATATTTCCTCTGTGAATATTACTAATATTATTTAGTGGTCTGACTAAACAGATGAATTTAAGGTCTACTACACAGGGTGCTGATCCGTGTTTGAAAGAAACGCCTAGTAGGTGAAAAAATGTGATGCCGAGTCTTTTGTCATTTACAATGTGTTATTTGAGTGATGATATATTTTCAATTGTAACTAATGTTGCCTTTTGTCTGTATAACTTGAGTGTTTACAAGCATTAAACGTCTTAAAAATAAAGCAGTTTAAATTTTTATTTTTATTTTAGCAAAAGTTCTGTTTTGCTTTGAAATGATTGTATTTGTTCCATTTGTTGCCATTCAGTAAATTGTTGTGGCAATGCTGTGTGTATGGTATGTGCATTTGTTATGCCATGGTACAGTGTATATCAGTTGTTATTCTGGTAGTTCCTGATTACATGAACCACCTACAAATTAACTATAAAAGGAATGATGATCAAGAATTTGGAGACAGAAAGCAAACCATTTAAGTTATCTATATCTGTTTAAAAGTAATGCCTTGATACCTACAGTAATAGAACTGGCCTTCCACTTATTTTTTACTTGTAATTGTAATTCAATTTTTTTGTGTCTTCTATCTCTATTGTAGTTTTACTCCTGTTTGCGAGGGAAGATTTGGAAGGGATATGGGAATGAGATTAGAAATTCTGTATTTTTCTTTTTCATAAATTCTTCTCAGATGATATATTGTACCTCAATATTACACCCTGTAACATATGTAACTTATGCATTGTTTATTTCTGTTAGTTAAAAAAGATAAAAATACAACACAAGTCCTAAGTAACTGAATTAGTTTTCCCCAAATGAATGGTGTATTTTATCTGATGAGCACTCACAGGTAATGCCATATTTAATCTTTTCCCCACATAATTCTGATGAAGTTGTATGGATTGATTTGACCTGGAGTGACCCGGTTATGAAAACAGTCAATGAGATAAATGTTTGAATGTAACATCAATCCTAAGGAGAGGTCAAACTTGCAGTCAGACTTAGGTGTAGTACTTCATGCTTGTTGAACGGCTAGATTTCTATGTACAGAATACTGTATGTTTCATTGCTGAATGATAAATTTATTTAATACAATGATTTGAGTAAGGAGGGCACAGTGTGGTATCAGCAAAGGATCAAGTAGTGATAAATTCTACACTGAAATGCAAAGAAAAAACACTATGTTTCAGATGTACAACCTTCTTCAGAAAATGAATGCTTTTTCATACACCTGAAACAAATTCCATAGCTGTTATTGTCATGATCACTCTGACCCTTTTGTATTAAAGTTTTATGCCATACACCTGTCCCTGGTTTTTCCCTGTATTATTTAAACCCCATTGCCTCCAAAGCTCTACACTCAGCATTGGAAGACAGATGCTGGGAAGCACGCCTACCAGCTGGTCCAGGAGAGATCCAACGGCATAGGTTTCAGAACAGCGTCCTGACCATCTGAGTCTGGGGCACAGAGTGCCTGGCTCGGTTATGATTTTATCTTCTGTATTCCTTGTTTCATCTTTGGCTTTGGATCTCCCGGTATTTGATTTTGGACTATGCCCTGTTTTTACCCAATTGGACTCCACTTGGACTCATTCGCCTTCGCCACGCCCCCCGAGCACTGGCTCACTGCCGTCACCTGTCTGTAATCCCGTCCTGTTCCAGCTGTGTTTTCCCTGTTGTCCTTCTCCAGTCACTTCCGGATTATACTGTCCACATAGGGTCCGAAACAACCCACTTTACGGGTATCTGGACCGGCTCCCGTGACAGTTATATGCTTCTACTTGTTTTCCAGTAGTATTTATGCTTGTTCATAAAATATGAAATTATCAATTTAATTGGGATCATAAATGAAGAATCTTTTGCTATTTTAGTCCCACAGTTTAGAAAGTGATAAACTTGTTGAGTTCAATGCACCTAACACAGTAACACAGCTGTTGCTTCTTACCAGGCATGTTAGATTCAGAGGGAGTTTGGTTTTGTTCTTTGGCCAGCAGACAGAATGTATTTGCACTAAAAAACAAAGGGTTGAACAATAACATCAAATGTTAACTTCTCAGATTCTGAACCCGTGAATGATGCAGTAGTAAAATTATGTCCATGTTTTGCTCTTTGAATTGGGGAGACATTTAAATCAAATGTGTACTTATATAGAATCTGTCATTTGACTACATTTATACTAATATCAATCCTTACATAAATTACTGCTCACACTTTAAAATGTATACTTAAAATATATTTTTTCATCAGATTTAAAAATTATTCCATATTTGAACATGGTTTTATGTTCAGTGTTTAAGCAAGGCTGAATGTCTGCTGGAAGTGCTATAAATTGACAGTACACAACACTACTCACAATTAATCACATATTATAAAAGGATGCCACTGTTATTGTGCCACTGTGCCGTCTGCCAAAGTGCTGTATTTCCATGAGGAAGTAAACTGAAGTCTATTTCACAATGTGAGCACTAAATATCAATGTTTGGTTTTGCAAGAATAAGTTCCAACACCAGGTTATAAAATCCAGCATACCTAAGGTCACCACAACTTAGAGTTTTTCATGACACCTTCTGCACCCCTAGTCATCCTTAATCTTAATGGGAGATCCAGTTTAAAATAAAAAACTGAAGACAATTATATTTTGTTAATGCAATGATTAAATTAATATTCAAGGTGACAATACTTTTTAAAAGGTGTATTCAGAGTAAGATGTATACATGAAATCTTATGCATTACAAAATACCTCACATCTACCCACAAGCAGAATGTGGACACTAAATATAATTTAGAACTGGTTAATTAACTTGTTTTAATGTGAAAGGATAATTGGATCAACTAATTTGAGCCAAAATGGTATTAAGTGTATACAATGGTGTATACAGCAAAATGGCATAGTTAGACAAGTCATATTTGTACCATGTCCTTTATTCTTTCAATGTCCTTAAAAGAGCCTACAGGCAGCCATGAGGTCTATTTGAGAGTGTGAACTGAAACACAAACAATCTACCTGTTGATGCATTACCTGTTTGGAATTGGTTTGTTAACTTTATTTTTAATTATCAAAGTTAATTTGCTAACTTTCATAGCTTTCCACTAACATATTACTCAATGGTTTATTATTATATGGTATTTACAATGTTATCAAGACTTACCAATGAGCGTTTGATGATGTGCATTATTCCTTAATGAATTTGTTTAACTGTTATGCTCCTTTTTATGCTAGATTGATTTGCTGTTTTAATCCACAGTGATTCAGATTAATTCAATGTCTGTTTTTAATTGTACTGTACCTCAATGAAAATAAGACTTTCTAGATTACTAAGAAATGACTGCATTCATACAGTCACATTTTTTAAGTAAATGTATACATTTAAGATTTTGCATTTAAATTCTGACCATTAAGCTGTGAGAAACATCCAAATGGAAATTAGAGTAGACAAAATCTATTTAAATCATACATTTTTTACTTATTTCTGTGAATAGTTTTTAATTTGACATGTATGACCAACTCATAAGCTAAATTCTGAGGAAATGCTGATGGAACTTCTTTGATCTCAAATTTTGGTTGATGAGTGATTTGATAAAAACCTGCAAATATGTAAGTAATAAGACAACATCTTCATATCGGTAACTTCATACAACATACAAACTAAACTGTGGTTCAGCAGGCAAGAGACTATTTTGGTTTCTAGGTGTAAAGTGATCAGAAAGCACATTACCTCACCTTGGATGGGACACATTCCCCCAGCAATGTGGGTTCCTATTTACACAGTTGTGTGGATTGGAAGAAGTAAGTT